AAGGCTATCGAGAAGACCACAAGAAAGTACACAGAGAAAACTACAAGTCACTAGCACTACTTCATATCAACAAAAAATAAGAGAACCTTTAGAGATATTAAAACTTACAAATATTATCTTCCACTCTACACAACTATATATCTTTAGCCGATGGATACTGGTATAATCAAATTATTCAAATCAAAATACAAACATCTATATTGTTCTTAGACAATATGAATCTAATGCTAATATAGAAAAGTTCATATAATTATTGTCATTAGTGTTTTATAAAAAAAGAACTGGTTGGAACTAGCATTTTTAGTAGACATAAATATAATATTTTACTAAAGGTGCCCAAACTAAAAATTGTATGTATGATAATATAAAAAACTCTACACTAGAACGAGGCTTTATTTTGTATCTTCCGCATACTTGTCATCAATAGTAAGTCTTCAAAATCACAGATCCAAACCCAGAACCAAACTGAAACTAAAAACTTTGAAGGACTTTGAAGGCTTGCTACTGGTAACAAGTACATTGAAAATACAAATTGAAGCCATTTATGGTGTAATTTTTCTTACACTGTTATATATACTATTTTCAGTATGGGTGCTTTTTGTAGAATACTACTTTTATACCAACTAAAAATACTGTTTTCAACTAGTTCTTTTTTGTGAAATACTAATTGTCACAGCTAAAGTTGAGATTTGAGATTTTTTTTCTTGAAAGCCTACTAAATGTATATATACTTTTCAATTAAAAACCTAATTCTAAATTCTAAAAAAAAAACAAAAAATTTAAAAAAAAATATTAAAATAAGATCAACTCTCAGCTTTAGCTGTAATAATTGCCATATTTATCTGATATGTGTATCTCATGAATTGAGTTCTACAGATTTTAAAACAATTTATACCTGAGTACTTAAGTACTCAAGTATATAACCATAAAATATAATAACTAAATTTTGCTTTTTTCTTACAGAAAAAAGCTATCTGTAAAAACAGTAATCAATTTTATTGTAGAGTTGTAGAATAAGATAAGCAATACAACCATTCAGAACTGTTAAGACAAGACCAGAATTCTTTTAAACACAAGTGAATCAGAAATGGATACTGTAGATTAGCATATTGAAAGTGATGTTCTGTTAAATAATAACGAAGTTGAGACCATAATTTCTAATTTACCAGATGAGAGTTCATATTTAGCTAAAACTACTTAGGCAATATTAATATATATACAAGCTGCTAATAAACCTATTGCTACAGAAAAAATACTTGATGATGAGGGAATAATTTTTATAGTTCAAGCTGAGGAAAATGATAATAAGCCAACTAGACAAAAAATTGAGGAAGAGAATGAAGACGAAGTATCTAAACTACTAGTAACAGTTGCTTAAGTATGTAGTACAATGCAAACTATTATTTGCTATGAAAAGCAAGAAAATTTGAAATCAAATCTGTTATTAAATGAATTAGAATTTTTAAGAAAACCACTCAAGCAGTATAAACGTGTATACAAAATATCAAAAAAACAATCAAAGTTCACTAGTTTCTTTATTTTTTCAGATTTGTACTCTAATAGCTCACATCTCCAAGACTCCTATCTCTATAATTTGTATTTTTAAAATTCATATCCTCATGATTTATATTTCAAGACTTGTATTTTCAAGATTCATATTTCTATAACTCACATTTTCTAGACTTATCTTTGCAAGACTCTCAGTCACAAGATTTGTATTCACAAGATTTATATTTACAAAATTTGTATTTCTGAATTCATCTTCCTTTTATTCTCAAGATTAATATTTTTAATTTTAACACTATTTACTGAAATCTTTTTTTTTTAAAAAAAAAAATAAAAGTAAAAAAAAAAAAGTTAGTTAAATGCTTATATATGGGGCTTTTGCTAACAAAATGACCCTCCGAGCTATTGTTATACAAGATTTTAATTAGTAAAATCATAACAAATCTATTTTTAGTAAAAAAAAATCATAGCAAAGGCCCCATATTGTCTCTTGGCTTGATAGCTCTATAAAAAAGCTTTGGTAGTATTATTTGAATTCGAAAAGAATCTGTGATAATTACCAAGATTTGTCGTTATATAGTTTAATATACATACATATGTGTATAGAAGTTTAACTATATCTTTTATAGTATGAATTAGATTATCAAATATTTGATGCATGTACATCGTATATACATATATAGTATACAAAGAAAAAAATTTAAAATTATGTGCACATTGCATACATAATTTTAAATTTATTGTTCATTGTTATAAGTTTTTTGTGCTTTGCGTACTGGTAGTTAGGGATATTAAATAATCCAGAAATTGTACAAATATCAAAAGTCAGATAGATATTATTGGTTTAATGCAATACAATGTATATCGTAAATATAGTTTAGTATAAATTAGCTATAGCTATTATAATATTATTAAAGTCAACTTGAAATCAACTTTAAACAACTTAATTCTAACTGACTCAAAAACTAATTAAACTGAGCTGTTTAACATCTCTACTAGTAGTACATACATATGTGCAGTGCAAGAAACTTAATATATACGTATTGCACACATAATTTTAAATTTATTGTTTGTATATGTGTAGTTATAATAAGTTATTTGCACTTTGTATACAATTTTATCACTGATAATACATATATACATACATACATGTAGTACAAGAAACTTAAAAACCACATATCAAATCAAATATTTTCGAAATAAAATATGAAAAAATATTTAATTTTTATATTTGCATAAAGTATAATTGTAGTTTTTAGATTTCTTATATTATATATATATAACAGATAATATTTTAATATTTATTTAAAGAAAATTATCAAAATCGAAAAATTAAAATTTTAAATTACCTTATATAATCACTATTTTTTTATTTTACTATTATAGTGATTATAAAAAGGTTTTTTAATATAGTTATATCTTTTTATAATCACTCAAATTTTGTATTTCAAACTGGTGACTATAATGAGGTGCAACTGTATTATTATTATATTTTTTTATTATTTACTCAAGAAATGTATTTGGTGGATATTTACTAATACAATGAGTTTGGCTATCTTGAAAATTATAGGTTGGACGTTTGTGATTATTATTAGTTTATCTTCTATTGTTATAAGTAGGATGTGTAAGGTTTTGCCTAGCACCTGCCTCTCTTAATGAAAGTATATTAATTAGTAGTATAACGTTGAGATCATGATATTCAAGGTACCTAGTGGTTCAAGTTAATTTGATGAGTACCAATTGTTGAGGACCCCAAATTTGCAGGTGACTTAGTAAAAATCATGGTTAGATATCTTTTGAAAGACCTTGCATAGTAGATATCTTCGATCTATCTTTAATTTATAAATAGTAAAAATGCAAATTTTTACTAATCACTAGATTTGTATATTTAAATTCATATTGTTTTATGCTTTGTATCTATTTTGTTTTGAATAAATTTACAGTTTCTTTTAACATTTAAAAGAGCTAATAGTAACAAACTAATGTAATTTAAATTTTGTTTAATATAAGCTTATTTATTAAAGTTAATATAACACACATACTTGAATATAATTTAGAAAAGCTTCAGAAACAATAAGGCACATTAGTAAAACTCCTTTAGAAATTTGTTGAGTAATATACACTTTGTATTTATTAATCATATTCTTAACTAATTGCTAAAGAATATAGCAATATCTAATCTGAATTTAATAAGAAAGTTGTTATTATTGTTATTTTTATTTTTAAAAAAACAACTTTTTTTAACTTTTTTCATAGCCACTATGCTTAGTTGCTTGGTAGCAGTACAAATTACTTCATAAAAATTTTTGATATAACAAACTCGTGTTCTTAACTTATTTCTATCTTGTTTAAGCAGATGCAGTTTCTCTGTTGTATCAATATGATAAACTTTAAAAATATTAACTACCTAATATTTGAACTTTGTATTACACTAAAGGTCTAGATTTTTTAGTATATTTAAATATTCATTATAATGACTTCTATCTATCAAGCTTTGCTTGTTTTCCTTTTTTTAATAAATGTTATTAATATTTGATTAAAAGTCTCATAAGTCATAAAGTTATATTCTTGCAAATCTATAATGGTTGAAGAAATTATACAATCAAAGCAGTAAAAGTCTATTCGAATATAATAACAATAAAAGAATTATTTTTAGAAATATTAATATAAAAATCAATATAAATATTAAATATTAATATAATTATTAATAATTGTGGCAGATTAAAATGAAATCAGATTAAAATGAAATGAGGGATAGTACAAAATAGACAAGTCACCGAAAAATACAAATTTTTGGGATATATTTTTAGCATTTTTTTTAGATTTAGGATTAGAGTTTAGAAGCAGGTTTTATAATAAACAAGTATAAGTGGGTTTTAGAGGGTCAAATAGAAACCCTTTATTTCATTTTAATCTGATTTCATTGTGATCTGTAACAATAATTATTATAAGACTAGGTGCAACCTGTATTATAAATTAGTAAAATCTATTACATAGATCACGTTAGGGTAAAATTCGCGTTTAGCTATGTTTTTTATTATACAAAAGTAGATTTCACCCTTATGTGATCTATATAGCAGATTTTACTAATTCACAATGTGGGTTTTACTCTGTCATATTATTATAATTGTTATTGATAAAATATATAATTATTATCAGTAGTTTATTATATTGCTTTAGGTCTTATTGTCATAAATCATTTCAGTCTTATGATCTGCATTCGATTGATGAAAATTGAGAAATAACACATGCCAATTCCAGATCGATCTAAATTTCATAATGATATAAAATATATTCACTAATTTTCGGAATTTAAAATAGATAATGGATTAGTACCTTATGATTTACTATACTTTTCAAATTACTGTGATCATCAGATTATTGTTCATCACACAGAAATCTGTAAAATTCTTTTAAATTTATCATTTTTTTAAAAATTCCTATTCAAAAAACCAGAATTTTAAAGATTTCTTGTCAAATTCTAATTCTCTGGTGTATTATCTATTAGTATACTATATCTTGTAATGCTTAGATCAGAAAATACTAAAATTTTTTAATTTTTTTATCTAAATTTTCTCAAACTTCAAGTGAGTTTATTTTGATAATAGCAGGTTGTTTTTGATATTTGAAACTATTTTCAAATTCTACAGATAGTAGAATTCGAAAATAATTTTTTATATTGAAATTAACCAGGTTATTGTTGAGAAATCTTTAATTAAACTTTTAAAAATATTTAATATTAGAATTTTATATATAATATACACAAAATATTTGGCTAGTATAATTTTTAGCCAATCACATATTTGCATTTTAATAGATTTCTGATTCTTAGATTTTCCATGATATATGATATATGAAAATCACTGATCACAGTAATTTGAAAAGCACAATAACTAATTTGAAAATTAATTAAAGAATTTAAAATTATGAATATAATACCTGAACAAGTAAAATAGCTTTTCAAACTTGGAAATTAAAGACTTTGGCTTTATGAAAAATCTTTTTATTAGCT